ATTGTGCAAATTGAATTATTTTATTTAATCAACTGGCATAATGCTTGTCGTATATTGTATTTTAATTGTTGTGTATTTTGGACAACATAGGCTCTTGCGTGTACAAAATTATTTTATGATAAAAAAAAATGTTTTTGGTCTCATATTTAGTGCCAGTAGCCAAAAAATATAATGCTCGTTTTTATATCTAGCAAGGGTTACATGCTAGAGGGGGCAGACGAACAGAAAGGTCACCTGATGGAAACTGAGACTATAGCCGCCAATGAACGTCTGCAACTCGGGAGTCACCAACGCGTTGCCGACCTTTTAGGAAGGCGTACGCTCTTTTCTTGAAGGTTTGAAGATCGTATCGGTAAGATAACATGTGACACAGATTAAATAAACAAGGCAAAAAGTGTATCGAAAAGCGCACAGTAGTGGAGCGCCAATTATCCAGGTGATGGGGATGTCGAGCAGGTGAATATTACAGACTGTTGATCATGACGAATTTCTTAGAAAATATCATAAGGATAGTCAAGCCGTTATCATTATTTGAAGCTGGATAATAAAATCTTTTAAATAAACATGAAACTGAAGGAGGAAAGATGTGAAATGAAATGAATCCTCAATAAAATGACCCGCATCACACACACATTTGAACCAAATGCGTCAATAAAACTAAGTCCTGTCTAGTAATGTACCCATCGCAGATAATTGTTACATGCGGGTTTACTGACTTTACTAAATAAATAGTTTCAAACACATTTTCTAAGATCAAAACATGAAAAAAGGTCTCATACCTTTTCTAAAATAATCTTATCCTTATACAATATTTTTTAGATTATCACAAAATTCCAGGACGTATTTGTTCAGAACTTACTCATGTTTTAAAAAGTTTATCTCTTCTTAAGTGTTTCGTTTTTAAACCGATTTCAAAAGGAAGAGGTTATCAATTCGGCTGTTTTTTTTTTAAATGTATGTTTGGGCATAACTCCGTCATAGTCCGTGAGTGAGGTTAGAGGGACTCCAAGGGCGGCAACGCACTTGTGACTTTTAAGTTGCAGGTATCCATGGGCGGCGGTAGTTGCTTACCGTCAGGTGACCCGTCTGCTTGCTTGCCCTTTTATACCATAAAAAATAAATGTATAAATATATGTGGACGGATTTTGAAAATTCTTTTTATGGTGGAAAGGGGTTTATTTCGAAATGGTCCCATTTAAATTTCATATAGATCTGATGATGAGTTTTGGAGACAGACAACGAAACTCTTCGAAAAATGACAGTAAATCAACTGCGATTGCTTCGAGTCGGTTCAACTTTTTTTAAAAAGGATTCATTCTTGTTTTCTATAAATGTGGTCGACATTTGAAAGATGATGATGATGAATGATTCATAATTATTTAAAAAGCTTTCCACAGGCAGTAAAGGAAAAGTTATTAAAATCAGGGAGCATGAAATTCATGAATTTACACAAAAATGTAAATCTTCTATATTTGATTTAAGATTTCCCAGGAAAAACACTGAAGAAACGTTTTAATTTGGAGTAGACCTTCAGATATCTAAAAATAGTAATTATACTACCTTACTTTAGTCTAAGTGTCTGACAACTATGTTAAAACCTTTATATAACATAATTTTAAGATGATTTAGGAAAAAGTAAGTTTTGCAGCATGATTCCCTAATTTTTTCTAATGTCAAGCCACCAACGCCCCTTGTGTTAAGTATTGAGCCTCTTTGAATTACATTGTATGTATATAATAAAAAAGTTAAATTGGGTTGTTTACGCTTTAAAAATTTAAAAAGTTAGTTTTTATTTCTTTCATGTAACCACAAAGTGCCACAGCAAGCGTGACAGGGTGCAGCTAGTTATGTATAGGTATACTAATTGGGATTTTAAGAATATGTTTTGTAAACAAAAAGTATGATTAACACATCTGTAACAAACATCAATCAGATATTACTACATTTTCTAGAGAGTTGACTACAATTTGTAATTATGAAACATTAACAATTAACAAGATATGTACCACGTACATGAAACTTGAATTAATCGCATGGCCGCGCATTAAAGAAAGTGGAAATCTGTAAGGGGTGACGATTTTACACTATCGCGAGTGTGCTGCGACAATCTGAAATGATGATAGCTAAGTAGGTATAATAGTAGAGAAATTCATTAAGAATGTAAATCAATGTGATTAGAAATACGAACTGCAGTTCTTACTAAGGTTAGGATGTTTTAACCTTTTATTAAAGATCCTGCAATATTATTAGAATCAGTGTTCTGTAACAGTATACTTTAAATGGGTGCCAAAGATTTATTAGAACAGGTAATTGGCGTCATTTATTCTATTGAATAAGAATAAATGAACTATTATATAGAACGTACATCTTTCGTAGTTTTATCCTCTACATAAACGGTTAAACGTTCGGTATTATTAATTGAATCCTAAAATTTAGCATAGAATAATTTCTTCATTTATTGATTGCAATGCGATTACAAATTAATAAAATCGTGCTGACACCGGTGCAATAAATGCTAGCTAGCTGACATGATTGAAAATTCTTTCGACTCTACTGTCCATCAGAAATGTATTCTGTGGAGTGCATGTAGCTTCGCAAATTGCTTGCAACTAGATTCCCTTCTTTGAACCAATGCGAGCTTAGATATAAATCGATTCGGTTCGCATTCGGATATTACAATTTGGATTTCACGACCTTTATTTGTAACATCTTTACATATACTTTGTTAAAGTATATCATGTGCATACGTGCCTTGTCAGGCGATGCGATTTACCATCAGAAGTAGTCGAGAAACCGGTTGGACCGGCACGACTGTAGCCGCTTCGAAGAACATCCACTGCATCCAGCTCTCTTAAATTGTTTTATACAGTATTTCTTGGCAAATTGAAACAATTTAAAACACTCAACGTTGCCATTCGAGGTTTATTATTATATTTTATATCGTAACCTAACGTTTAAATCTAAAGAAACTTTTTACATGTGTTTGCAACACATGCAACAAGTTTAAAAAATATTTAAGTCAGAAATATAAAACATAGTTGACATGGTTTCAATTTGTAAACTGAAAATCACGCAGTTCTCTGGAGCAGTCGTCAAAATGTTTTGAACATTAACATGTTAATTCTTTACATAACAACTACAACTTACTCAAACTAAATACTTGCTTATGGTATATTTGGTATTTATGCATTTTTTGGTCTTTAAATTTAGTGTAGAGTATTTTCAGATTTCTATATGATTTTTGAAAGTCACTTTCATACAAGAATAGAGAGTTTATAGTGGTGCGTGATGAGGGTGCGGCCCTCTTACTATCCCTAATAACAGCCCTCCCTCGATGATGATAGATTAAGGTTACTATTTTAGATGGCTATTTTCGTTCATTTCGTGTACGTTTCGTATAAGTACCGTATGTTAAGGCACTCTTTCAAAACCATCTTTAATTTTATTTCCATATTGCAAGTGTTGGGTTTTAAATCCGTTTTATTTTTATATATAGTTTTGATTTTGCATTTTATTTATTCATGTACATATTATGTGTGTCAAAACAAATCCTCATACTACTTCTATAAGAACAGAACAGCCCGAATTTGACTAGCGCATGTTATATAGTGTAGTTTATTTGAGTTTTCATGTCAATTAGAGACATATTTGGTTTGATACATTTACAAATGTATTTTTAGCTATATACTTACATTACTACTATAATTTACCCTTTTTTAGTTTATATACACATCCCGTAAAACATAACACGCATATGACATACATTTTTCTGTACTTTTTGTCTATCTACACAAATTATAACCCGACAATTTCTAAATAGGTACTTACATATACTTTGCCAATGAGGCAACAAGATAATATGCCTGTTTATACTACAATACATACCTAATTATACGTACAAAACAATACTTATTTTGCAACATTGCTAATTTATCTAGTTCAACGACTTTTTTGATTTTAATAGATTATATGCAAGAATTTTATTTAGCATACGACATAGTAAATTTTTCCACGATAACCTTGAATGTGTACCTATGCAGCGATAAGAAGATTACTCATACAACGGTCCTCAAAGTCAGGCTATGGTCGCTAATCGAAGTTGACGTATTTATTACCATTGTTATTTACACCTTAGCCTAAAGTAACTGATTTACATATTTCAAAAAGGTAAATATATATGAATGAGGTTTAAAATTATATTATACAACTTACACAACCTTACCTCACACCGCACCTTAAGAACTTAATTTTTGGATACCTCTACGACTTATCATTTCCTAATAAAATCAGCACATAATTAGGTGTGTAAGTGTCAGTTACTCATGCACTACCCGTTTGGTTATGTACAAGTGCCATGTACTTGAGTTTCTAAATAGAATAAAGCTATGTATTTTTAGTCGCCTCGCCCACAGTCTATCATTCCTAGATTAGTCAGACGCCCAGCGCATTAGAATGTATTGTTATTGTGTAATAAAATAACTAATAACACTGCATCAACAGTAATTGATACCTAAGTATAATTAAATTACTAAATTGGTATACTGGTTTTCGCTTCCGCGTTTGGCAATGAAATATATGTATCTAAGATACACACGTTTCATTCAAATAGTCTCACATATCAGTATTTTGTTTATTTCTTTATTTTTTCTAACACTGATGATACCACTAAACATTCCCATATATTTATTTGTAAAAATGTCGTATCATACAATGGAAAAAGGTATTACATTAGTTAGAAAAACGATATGACATTCGTTAATTTTTCATGTGAATTTAAGTAAACAAAACGATTCTTTTAAGGGCAAGGAGACATCGGCTCGAAGCGCCCGGTCAAGGTATCCGGGCCAAAGGTCGATGACAGCCGCTACGGGTCGCTTACTACTCGCGCACTATAATTACCGCCAAAAATTACGCAAATCTTTTTTGCATGCATGACCTTACACACATACAAATATGTTTTTTAAATATAAATTAAATTTTAACATTTGCAAAATTCTAACCTGATGACATCGATTCGTTTTCAGATTTGGGTGTAGTCGGTGGCATTGGTAGAGGCATTGATGGCAATGGCTGAGTCGCCTGTTGTAGCTGTTGTTGTTGTGGTGGCTGCTGGTCCATGTTGCACCCAAACATTGATGGCGTCGCGCCGTACGCGTCATCGTAACCCCACAACTCGAGACTGCCGTACTCTGGCGAAGCCAGTGACTCCGGTGACATGACCATAGCGGGCGGCAATCCCAGTGCCGAAGACGACGTGACTTCAGGCGAGCTCTCGTCGAGCATTCGCAGCGTCTGGAAACCTCCGTTGTTATACCAGCGGCGTCTCATGTCGGCGAGCGTGTCATACGCTCCGGTTTCTGAGAGCGCCGAGGTACATCCTCCGACGAAAGCTTTCACTTCACTTTTTTCTCGCACTAAACTATCTAAACCCGACGTTATGGACATGTACCACTCGTCTACACTGCGTTCAAACTGAAACGAATTGTTATCCACTATCTGATTTTCGTGCAATCCAATAGGACTCCGAAGTCGCGTTCGAGCTGCACCAACTTTTTGTAGTCACAACACAATCCAAGCAACAGGTGAGAAGAGCACGCGACTCCCACGAGTTCGTCCGGTGATGTGGATAGGGGGTAACGCGTTGTTCGTGCAGTAAAAACGAGTACGTTGCGCGCGCGCGACCGTCGTCAGCGGAGTACGTAGAGCGAGCGAACGAACGACGCGGCCGCTCTCACTACTCACTGCCACGGTCGACGTGACGTCACAGTGCCCCGTTCCCCGCACCACCGGGCCAGCCCCCGTCGGCCCCCGCGCGCAACCGTGGCACAGAAAGTCAAGCCACCGGCGACAGAATGTAGCGCGCCGATAAAACACCCTCAATTTATGAAGACTCGTTCTATCAAAACAACTTCGCTTCGTTACGCAACTTTTGAACTTGAGAAAGTTATTTGCTAAATTATCTAATGGCAAACATTTCTCTATTTCTGTTTATTTGTTATTATTGCCATATGAATTGTAGGTAGGTAGGTATATCTTGTTTGTCTCTTATCTCCAAACATTACGTGGGTGCCTAGGCAGTACTAGTAAAGTAGGTACTTTGCAATAGTTACTTAGGGTCGTTTTCTTACATTGTAATGAGACAACACTAATTTAAGACAAATCTTAGATATCTATGGGTTACTTACAATAATGGTATGCTAATAGAGCTGTGTAACCTCTAAGTGACTAGTGCATTGTAAATAGCTTATTATCATACAATTACACCTCGTATACGTAAGCTGAATAGGTGTATTAGTATTTAGGCACCTATCCTTATTGTCTCTGTTATTATTATAATTACGTAATTCTAGGTCTAAGATTTAATCGTTTTCTCAAGCACACTATACCTACACACATACCTATTCTTAGTGGCTTTGAAGTTACTTTTTGTAATTATAAAATGATTGAGAATACTAAGACCTTATTTCTGTCATCATCATCATATTACTTTGTCATTTGTATTGTACAACGATACGTTGTACTGAAGGAAGACTATTTTAGTTGATGCCCTTATTGTAAAGATAAACGTCTTTTAAGTAAATACCGACAACGTTTGTTTTGTTAGGTAGACGAGTATGACACATTGACTCGAATCAAATCAGTAAAGCGTTGTCCTCCATACGGAAAAATGGAACGTCGACCCAAATTGCAGCATTCAGGTTATCTGAGTATTCGGCAGCGATATAATGAAACCCAGCGATCAAATTTTACCTGTACTTACTCTTATTTATAGGACACGACTATCTAGCATATTGGTGATTTCAGTTTACATCTCATTGCATGTGCAACATCAATAATGGCGAGTTTTTACTTAACCAACGATGTACAGCGAATTGATTTGCGAATCGTCACTGGCTAGATAAGATTAGAAGCAAGAATGACGATCCGCTAGCCATGATTTTAGTAAGCGTTCGCGTCACAGCATCACGTGTTCGCACGGATCGTTGACCTGCTATGTTTTGGAAATACACTCCGATCGCCCGTGCCCACAGTATTTGTCATGAGGTAAAAAAAACTATTTATCTATGCAAGTTTTTTTGGACACTGCTGAAAATTAATTTATTATTTGTGTCTCGCAACCACTTTGTAAATGAATAACGTAGGTGTTACTTGAATTGTCTAAATCGCCCGTTCGCTAATTTTCAAAAAGAATTTTGCTACCGCATTTTTTGTATGAGAACTCATCTGTACCATACTTATTGAAACAGGAAAAGACTAACGCTAGGCTAACGCCTAAGGCTATGCTATCAAGGCGAGATTGTTCCAAATTGTGTTAATACGATTTATCACATCGATACAGCGTTGTTATTAAATGTACTAAAATGGTATCTGTTGATCGTATACACTGCGTTATCTTTAAATAGGTTCCTATTCTCTATAACAGCGTGGCTATGTAAAAGCTTTACTTACCACCTAATTAGGTTTTAAATCAAGTTTTTAATAGTACCTACTAGACATGAATGTCGATTGCTAAGTGACAAGCGATTTTATAGTCATCCAATTTGAAATATTTCATCATGATTTGGTATAGTCGTGTGCAAAGATGAATTGAAGAAATATATTAAATAAAATGCATAGATAATTAGGATAAATAGATAGATGGGATAGGATAGAATTAGAATAAGAGGTAAAAAGTGTAGTTATATGTTGTGGTAAAATAATAAACGAAGAGCTAATCAATAGAGCTTTAACTACTTAGATAATAAGATCGGTTTGAATACAAAAATCATAATATTTTCTTAGAGACACTAGTAAGAAGTTCCACATCAAAAACGTGCTCTTACCCAAAAATGGAGCGCTTAAGTTACTGGAGGTAGTCTTATTTAGAAAACAAACAAAATGTTAGCCAAAGTCCGTTTTTCCACGGCTGTACCGTGCAAAGTGTTTGTACAGTGGAGTCGTGACGTTGTCCAGTCGTGCGTGCAGTAAAATGCTCGATTGGTTCCTGTACTCCCCGCTCCCTCGTCATCCGCCGAATTGTACCCAACCTTGCCCGTCAATTGTTCTTAAAACATGGGCCTATTAAGAAATAATTTTCGACTACTTGCGTGTGAAGTCTTCGAATGAGAAATGTTTATCATGTCTAATAGACATTTTTGAATGGATATTTATATTGTAAAGCTGGGGCTAAACAGGTTAATATTCTGGAGAAGCGATGGCCTATACTTATTTATGCAGTTTAATGATCGTTGAAACTAGTTTTTGTATAGATATGGTCGTTTATCGACATTTAATATAGTATTTATATGTATAGATACGTATATTATAACATATAATTATAAATTATATTTAATATATATGTATATATATCGCACCCTCAGTAATATAACGGGTCAAGTCAAAGTTTTTGTGAAGTGTGATTTTAAATGCTAACGGGACAAAATGAAATTCTCTACCGGTTACCACTGACAGAGAAAGAAAAGGGATAATAATGACTCGGTAAATATATTTGTGCCTCTCCCCGATCGTCTCCCGTTTTTAGTGCTACAATGTCACAAGCAGTAACGTGTCCATATTTGCCAAAAGCGAGCCGTCAAAACTTTGTTCTATTCGTGTTTGTGCAAAAAAACAATGTGTAGGCACACCAACACCACCTAGTTAAGGAGTTACCGGAGCCCAAACCCCCTGATTCTGGTGGGGAGGCAGAGCTCGAAGGGCTTAGACGCACTTATGACTTTAGAGTGGTTGGTATTCATGGGCCTTACCATCAGGTGATTTCCCGTTTACTCGTTTGCTTCCCTATACCATAAAATAAAACGGCGTAAGGGGTCCATGGACCCCGGTTCGAACGTTACATACTCTGAGTGGATGGGAGCAAGACCGAAAACTGTTTAACTAGACTTTTTTCCGACACTTATGTTGGCGTGTCGAAGCTCACATCTTTTTCATATTTCATATATGTATATAGCAAACGTCTACCAAAAAGCGAAAGGAATTTCGTTCCGACCGGGTGTCCATAGACCCCTCACGCCGTTTTTTTGTTTGGTATATTCCATAACCCAGTTCGTATTGCTAGTTTCTGAGTATTAAAGTGTTTGTGCGAATAAAAGTGATTTGAAAAAACACAAGCATGAACATAACCAAATTACCTACAAAACAAATTGTTTTACCATTTACCATATTATTTGTAGAATTTCAACAAAACTTATATAAATCAGAAATATCTTACTTAGATTTTAAATTGCCAGATATTGCCAATTTTAAGTCTTCCATTAGCCAGTTTCTTTATAAAAATACGATTTGAAAGATAATAAAAACGAGTCTACATCTTTTTAATTAACAGATCTTTTTTTAATTAGTATGCATATATTCAGATTCTTCGAAATGTTGGTTTAATATCTACTATAAAAACTTGTACAGTCGAAATAAATTCATTTAGTGATTCGATTCAGTCTTCTACCTATATCAGACCAGGCATTCTCTCGAAGGTTACAGTTTTTATGATCTTAAATTTTCCATTAAATGTGAATTATTTGGTGTTGATCGTTCTATTATATTCAAGGTGACATGATATAGCTCTTGGCTTGCTAAATTAGAAAGTAGATTCAATTAGGATTTAATTATTCAGCCTACAGATCGCCCGTTGATCGAAATTCATTTATAATTCAGTAAGATTTAAATGATTGACTTAATTCATTGAACGAAATAAAAATAACAAGGTATATGAACTGTGACAGCTCAAAATTCGAAGAATGAATAAATAACCATAAAAAATAAATTATAAATGAAGTCATCTGATACGTCAGATATTTGTCAAATTTTCATAATAAATCATTTAAATTAGAATTTATTAGCGGGAATATTCTGTGGAACATCGACAAAGAGAAAATGATGTTTACAATATTTTCGCTTTCGTTTCCTCTATACAAAAGTTATATTGAATAAGAATATCACAGTGTTTTGCGTTAATTACTTTACAGTGTTACAGGTTACTGCTCTTTGCCCATGAGTCGTAACGTGTTGTTGACTGTTGTATGTTTCCTAAACTTTTGGGTTGTGTAACGAAAACAAACAAGTGTGTAAGTAGCTCCCACCACACATGGATACCTGCAACTTAAGATTCACAAGTACATTGCCGCACTTAGAGTCCTCCCCTCACCACCCCTGCACCCCGAGAATTAGGGAGTTTGTGCTAGCGTAACCTTAGTCATACTGTGAAAATTCTGTGGTATCACTTCGGTCGAGTCGGCCCGTTTGTGCCGAAGTATAGCTTTCCCACGATAAAGTCCCTCTTCATCATCATCAGCCTATCGCTGTCCACTGCTGGACATATGGGCTCTCCTATTGCACGTCTCTGATCGATTTTCGGCTTCTCGCATCAACATTTTGAATATATAATATTTATATAATAATATAAAATGACTGGATATATAAATGATTTTGCAAAATCCTGGTGACTTTTGCAC